CAATCCGTTTTTAAGCAACCATTTTTAAGCAGGTCTCATAAGCAAATAATTCTGTCAAGTGTTTTTATGTAAATGCTCGTTTAATTCTTAAGATCTTGTAAAGCAACACTTAATTTCAACAGATTACATGAGTCCAAAGTCACACTAATAGTAGGCAGATGGCAGAATTGAGACTTGAATCTAGATTTGTACAGAAGTACTTGTGTCGTATGAATTTTAGAAAGTTTCTGTTGTCTGTAAGAAACCTCACACTAATTAACTATGTAAAGATTGTCAAAAATATAATAAAAATGGGAAGGAAAAGAAACTTCACAGTGAACACTCACTAAGGTACTAGCATCCAGACAGCAAAAATGAAGGTTGACAAGTCTTCAAAAATTCTCAAGATGAAAAGGTTTAGTAGCCTGTTTCCCCTACTGAAACCAAAAAGCTGCTCGGTATGCATTCTTAACTTCCTCTCATTAAATGTTAAATTGAATCATGTTACGATTATTATCATAGTGGTTCAGCCACAGCTATTTCCTGCCGCAGTTCCTGTTCACCACTCAGAAAGAAGTCCAGCATCTTTTCTTTCCAAACTACCTGCTGTGTGAAGCAGCTGGCTGTTCTCATCTTTCCTGGGTGCCACAGACTAAGCTGGGAAAGCGCAGCTTTCCTAAATGTCACTTAATATTTTCAACTGAGTCACATGCTTCCCAATGTTGTTTAGAAATTCAATGTGAGCATTTGTGGTCGTGCTTTAGGCTGAGAGGAAGACATGGAATTTATTTCCCTCAGATTCGTCGGGGTGGTCCCAAATGGAAACACATGTCCCCCTGCCACTTCCTGAGCTGTCATGGACTGTCACCGAGCACTGTGACACAGCAGTGAAGATGCTGTTTGGGACACCTCTACCCACATTGGGCCCTGCTCCACTCTCCATCCAGGTTCTTGCTCCTGTCAATCCTGGCAGGCAACAGGTGATGGTCCCTGGCATGCAAGTCCCATATGGGCTTCCAAGCTCCTGGCTTCAGCCTGGCCCAAGAATCCAGTGCAACAGAAGACAAAAGTGCTCTCTTACAGCCTAGCTGTGTCTCCCTTTAATTTAAATAAATAAATAAGTAAGTGCATTTTTTAAAAAAAAGGCAGCAGTAATATAAGGAAAGGAGAATGTCTGATATTGACTCTGTAGAAACAAACTAGGTAAAGACAGAACCACAGTCCCTTGGAGATCCTTCCTTTTGGGCCTCGTGCAATGCCTCAGTGGTTCGATCCTCACCTTGCATGTGCTGGGATCCCACGTGGGGGCCTGTTTGGCTGTTCCACTGCATCCACCCATGTGGGAGATCCAAGCTCACTGCTCCTGGCTTCGGATGAGCTCAGCTCCAGCCACTGCCATCACTTGGGCTGTGAGCAAGCAGGCAGAAGATCTTTCTCTCTGTCTCTCCTTCTCTCTGTAGATCTGCCTTTCCAATAAAAATAAACACATCTTAAAAAAAGAAAAATTCTTCTTTTACAAGTAATTCCCAAACAGCTTCCAAAAATAAGCACCAATGCCTCCAGCAATGTCAGTTTTACAGCTTAGAATGAAACCTCAATAAAATAATTGCTTGGCTAGACACATTTAGAAATAGTTTCCAATGGCTCTGGGAAAAGAAATCAGAAGGTACATTTTTAAAAGATTTACTTATTTGAGCAAGTTATAGAAAGAAAAAGAGTGATACACAGATCTTCCATCAGCTGGTTCACTCCCCAAACCAATGCAATGGCTAGAGCTGGACTAGTCGGAACCAGGAGCTTCTTCAGGGTCTCCCACGTGGGTTCATGGTCCCAGACACTCAAGCCATCCTCTTCTGCTTTCACAGAGAGCTTGAGGGGAAGTGGAGCAGCCAGCCTGGTCACCAGGGCTGCACATATTGGCCCCACAAAGTCAATTGCTTTAAATATAACAATGAAAAAACTGTTGAGGTTTTCCCAAAATCTTAGTATTTAAATCTAACCATCAAAATTGAATAATATCCACATTTACACATAATTACCATTTATAAGGTTGGCGCTCACACACACTTTTTCATATAAAGCCCTCAGGAACCCCTCAGCAATTGGCATTCCTGGGGGAGACGGCCTTCGTCCCATTTCCCCAGCAATGAAAACTACTTCTGCGCCTTCAGGTTTCAAGCGGTAGCTCCACCCATAACCCAACCCATTCTCATTTGAGATGATTCATTCCTTTTCATTTATTGAGCAGTTACCATGCCAAAGTACCTCATTTAACGCGTGCTATCCCCCTTGGAGCATTAAGCAAGTCGGAAACTGATGATGAAAGAGATTTGCTATCAAAGTCATGAAAACCCAAGGGGAATTCTAGCTCTAGTCCTCGGTCCTTTAGTTGAATTCTCTTCCCATCAATCTATAGTTCCTATATTCACCAGTATGTACTTTATTATCGTCATTTGTTCCAACGATGCTCCCCAAACAGAGAAGGCAATTCTATCTTCCAATCTCCAAATGAGTTAACGCAAGACTTGATTAATTCCTCCACAACAGAGGGTGGGCGACAATCACAGTCCTTACCCCACATTCGATTACAGGGATTAAATGAGATCATTCATAAGCAGTCCAGCTATTTTCGGATTCCCACATTTTTCCCCCATGCGACCCTAACTTCTTCTCTGTCCAGTCTAACAAAGCCTTTTTTCATTACGTTATTTCTTGCCACTTCGCACTACACAGGGAAGGCAAAAAGCCTCACGGTCTTGAAACTGTTCACACTACTTCCTTTTATTCCTTTTATTTTTAGAACCAACTACCCAGTACCAATTTGGGCTTAAAAAAAAAAAAGCTTGCTCTTGGAGGTTCAACTGTAAGGCTTCACCCACTGTACGCTCCAGTGTGCCTGCACTGTCGCATCTTCACGCACTACCACAAAGTAGCCAAAACGGGATCGCCAACACTGCCTACCTCACTCACACCGAAACATCACATCTGACGCCTACAGACAACTGGAAGCTGTACGGGAGGCGGGCGATTTCCAGAGCGCAAAATATTCCTGGGATCAACCCGTTTCCGGTCTCAGATAAAGTTCACCGTCCCCTAGACATTCACATTTCTTCCCTCTGGAATCTGGGAGATGAGTTCCTACAACCGACATGGCTCATGTCTTCCTCACCCGCCTTAGCCATGTAAAGTCCAAATCCAAGTGGAAGATTTAAAATCTGCATGCTGATTTCTGGCTCCTTAGACAAGACTGCACAGTTGCCACATTCTCAGAATTCCTAATACAACTGTTTAGAGAGTCCAGTCTTGCCAACGAATTGTACAAAGTATCTACAGGACTAAAATCCAACATGAAATCCATCGGTAAAGTCTCAAGAAAAGGGAGGGGAAAAAAAAAAAAACGCTTGAAAATGTTTGGCAAAAGCCAATCAAGAATGAGGAAAGGACAGTGTCCCACGTAAAGTACGCAGAAAACCTCATGAACAAAGACTGCAACTTGCAAGTTACAACAGCATATTTAACGCATTCCCCACGAATTGAAAAGTACGTGGGCGTCTCAATTACATCATTGCAATCAATAACAATTGTCCAGGTTATGTCTGACTAGTCTACGTTGCAATAAGGCAGTTTCGTCCACCACCAACCTCCACCCCTCCGCCCCGGGGCTTCGAATGATCAAGGGTGACAAATAGGGTGGCCAGAATGATGCCTCAAGCCACACAAGAAGGATCTGCTGAGTTGGAAAGCCTTGACTGGAAGGAACAATAACAGAACAACGCAAGCCGTCCGACAGCGGGAGGCCAAAAAAAAATAAATAAAATAAGCAAAGGTGAAATGAGCGCGTGCTGGATGGACCAGGGTATTGTTAGCGGACGGGAAATCCTCCCAGGGGCCCCAGGCGCCCAGCTGTCAGCACCCCTTCGGCAGGGCAGGCCGGGCACGGCCAGGGGGGGAAACTCCAGAGCAGCGGCGGGCACAGCGGGTGCAGGGCAGCCTCCCTCCCTGGCACCCCAGCACGCAGGGGTACCCCCTGCACCCCGATCTCACCCCGTGCACCGCCCTCTAGGGTGCCAGGATCCCCCATCCCAACCCTGCAGCAAAGGGAAGGGAAAGGAAGCAGAGGGGCCTGCGGAGGGGCGGGCGCGGCGGCACCAGCGCGGGCTCGGGAGCAGGGAGGCTCAGTCTCTCCCTCTCCCTCTCTCTCTCTCTCTGTCCCTGCCAGTCGACAAATTGATGCCAGGCCGGGGGCCCGCCAGGTGCCGGAGGCTTGCCAAGGGAAGTCAGCAGCGGCGGCGGAGGGCGACGCGTGGCCCGTCCCCTTCACCCATCCAAGCCACCCGGTTAGCCACCCCGCCGCCAACCTCCCAGAACCGTCCGTCCCGGGCCATTCTGTCAGAAGCCCTGGGAGAATCTCGGCCCCGGGCCCGGGAGGGGCGTCGGAGGGGAAGGTGGGGGATGCAAGCGGCTCTTACCGTGGATGCGGGCGCCGCACCGCTAGCAGGCGGCTGGGGTGTGCGCGGCGGGAGACACCGAGGCGCGAGCGCCGCCCCCGCCGCCGCCGCCACAAGCCGGGAGGTGCTACCCCGAAGGCTGCGAGCGGCCGCGCGGCTTCCACAGCCTGCCCCACCCCCGGCGGCCGCTCCCGCAGGCTTTCACGCCCGAGCCTGCAGTCTCCGCGCTCGGGCGGCGGAGGGCGCGAGGAGAAACGGAGGAGACTCCCGGGGGGGCGGGGCCGAGCGCGAGCTCTTGCTCTGATTGGCACGCCTGCGGCCCAATGGGACCACGGGAACGCCGAGGCTGAGCTGGGACTGACGTTCCGTGTAACCTATGACAGTAAAGGAGGCGGGCCCGGGGCCTTCTCTGACGGCCGCCTCTCGGGCCAAGCTGAAGGAGAGGAGAGGTCGGTTGGTTTTGACTGACGGCTCTCTGGCCCAATGAGAGCCGGGAAAGGAGCCTCTGGAGCCAGATTGGCGTTCTCTCTACCTCTACGGGGAGGCCCGGGGCGGGCGATGAGAACCAGCCCCGGATATGGGCGCGGCCTTGAGGTGGAATTGAAGGATCCTCTACTGTGGTGTTTCGGAGAGGCGGAACAGGATCTTTTTTTTTTTTTAATTATCATGTGACGGGGTTCTGGATTTCATGGAGGGGGGGAAAAGTGTGGAAAAGGACAAGGATCCAAACTGGCGACGTTCCGGATCTTGGCGGCGCTGCCAGGTGAGTCGGGAGCCCCCCGGGCCCTCGCCCCGCATGGCGCCACAGCGCTGTCCATCCACGTCCTCGGCTGGGCGGCCGGCCGGAGGCTGGTCCACCAAGGGCTCTCAGGTGCCTCGTGCAGGAGGGAGTCCCCCGTGGACTGCTCGGGTTTGGGGCAGCGTTTCCCAGGACAGGGAACGCCAGGTGAGCCGCGTCGGTCAGCTTGGCAGAAGGAGCTGCGTTTTGGCCCAGGCGGTTGCAGCGCGGGGGGCCTTCGGAAAGCGACTTTGTGTGGGTTGTGCAGGTGGACTCCGGGACTTGGGGCCGGGGCGAGGTTCCCCCTGGGGCAGTGATGGGAGATGACAAACTGGCCGGGATCGGATCCCCGAATACCTCACTCGGCTAGTAGGAGACGAGGGAGAAGGGGTGTCGGGCAGACAGCCAGCTCGGAAGAAGGCATCTGTCTGAGCAAAAACGGAACTGTCCTCTGGGTATCCGAAGTAATCGCCTTCAGAGGGATGTGTTTTTCTAGTAACCTTTGGATGGGAGAATTCCCCAACTCCGACCCAGGGAGAAAGGGGAGGAGTCGCCTTAGGAAGCCGCAATGACTGGCGATCCGGGTCGTAGGTCCTTGCCTGCGGCTCTGCATCCCGCACTGCCCATCTTGCAGGCACAGCAAGCTTATGTCCTTTGCATTTGGTTTCAGTTCACCTTCAGTCCTAAGTGCCCTAGGCTGATGGCAGCCACTCTCTTCTGTGCTCCCTGTGGGGGAGAAGGGAGGGAGTGAAGCTTGTCTTCCTCCGACCACAGCTGAAAATGTTTTTCAAGTATGGGTGTTTCTGGTAAATCTTTTCTTGGAAAGTTTTCCCAGAAACGATCAGATAGCGTGGAGATGCGGCTTACATACATTGAAGTGACAGGATGAGAGCCAACCACAACTCCTTTGCAAAATTCAGACCCGCTTCCCAACAGACCTCAGCCTCTGGCCAGTTGTGGAGTGTTGCAAAAGTTGCCAAGCCTCTGCCAGCTAAATGAACAAATTACATACAAGAAGGGAATTGGGAGATGCGTACCCAGCTCCTGCAATAAAATGGGTGTGTACGCTGACCCTCTGATAGCCTCCCCACTATTCAAGGAGTAGATGTATGGAATGCAATAAAATTAGCAATGAAATAGAATTAACGGAGCGCACTAGCCAGACTGTTTGGTTCTTCCGACCAATTCCTTCACCTTTTGTCTTAACTTCTTGGATCCACCACCCACTTGGTCCTACCTCGGCCACCGTCAGGATGCTCTTACGTCTGTCACCCCTCAGACGCTGGTTTCCTCAGTCCAATTACACAGGGTGCTGCTTTCCCGGGAGCTTCTGCTCGTCCCCTTCTATCTCATATCTCATCTTTGGTTTTCTCCAGACGGCTTAAAAGAATGAAATGTCCTCAGCTGTTTCCATTGTCTTATCTTCTCTGAACTCCTGCCAGTGCCTGCAGTCTGCCTTCTGTTTTCCCACACACTTGAATAAGTAGCGAGACCTACTGTACGCTTCTTATATGGAAAAACAAATATACATGTATGCACCTAAGTTATGCAGTCGTGTGTCCTCAAACTGTGAGTTTTTAAGAACTCGCTCAAGTTATTTTAGAATTGAAGAAAAGTTGGTAAAAGAGCAAAACAGAAAATACTCTGGAAAAGTGTGTGCGCTAGCGCTTGCACAGATTCTGACAAATAGCAGAGCCACACACCGTTATGGGGTGTTAGCACAAAGCCAATGGAAATGAGTGAGACGGAATAGCTATGAGAAATAATGCCGATTAGAGAGCAGTTTAGCTTCCAATGAGTACAAATATCTAAAAGGTTTTGAGTGATGTGTTTTAATGAAAAGCTACCTGAGGGTTAAAGAGGAAAGCATGTACAGATTATGTTAAAATCTAGTGTCACCAGGATTTAGCTCCGTGGCCTCTGGACTATGCTAATTCTACTCAATGTTCCCGCCATTGCCACCCATCATTTCCTCCTTATGAAATTCCCCTCTGGTGACTTGGATCAGCCTCCTCCTTTTTCACTCTTGGACATGGAACGTTCGTTGTTAGCTGCCCCTTGAACACATTCAGGGAGGGTGAGAACACCCCCAAGGGGACAGAAGTGAAGTGACAAGTGCATGGACTTAAGTAATGGCATCCAAAAGGAACAGAATGGTCCCTGAACTCTTTCGAATTCCCAGTGGACACACTAATGCGCTATAGGAATGAGGAATTTCATATTGTCAGTGGTTGGTATGTTTTTAAAGGTAGCGAACAGTTGAATGCTTTCAGACTCAGGAAGTCAGTGGATGGAAAAGGGCCAACTTGGCTCACTAGGAATAGAATAGGACATTTTTTTTTTTTTCTGTTATCAAAACCACCTTGACTCTCTCTCCTTCTCTTAGGGTGTGTGTCCCTTTTCTCCTGGCCCTGCAACAGCCTCTCTGCACTGTGTAAATGAGAATGTCCTTGGCTCAGAGAGTGCTACTCACCTGGCTTTTTACATTGCTCTTCCTGATCATGCTGGTGCTGAAACTGGATGAGAAAGCACCATGGAACTGGTTCCTCATCTTTATTCCCGTCTGGATATTCGACACAATCCTACTTGTCATGCTGATCGTGAAAATGGCCGGGCGGTGTAAATCGGGCTTTGACCCTCGCCACGGATCCCACAACATCAAAAAAAAAGCCTGGTACCTCATTGCCATGTTGCTGAAATTGGCCTTCTGCCTCGCGCTGTGTGCTAAACTGGAACAGTTTACGACCATGAACCTGTCCTTTGTCTTCATTCCTCTGTGGGCCTTGCTGGCTGGGGCTTTAGCAGAACTGGGCTACAACGTCTTCTTTGTGAGAGACTAACTTCCGAGTACATCGCCTCCTCTCTGTTGCTGTCCAACAAGCTCTCGTTAAAGTGTTCGGAATCTTTGCAAGCTTCAAGAATGCCAGAGAAACCAACGGGAGAGAATCAGATGTAGTTTTATACTGCAGCCAGGAAATGAGATTGTCAACCATGGACTTCCGGTTGATCCGAAGCGTAATTATTCAGTGTTGGAACTGTTGATATCATTACTATCCCTATGTAAATAAAGTTTGGTTTGGAACTCATTTTCCTACATGACTCTTGAATAAGTAATCTGTTCTTGTACGTATTACAAAAGCCTTTAATCCACATATTTGGAGAGGAATTTTTAGGTGACCAAAGAACTATAAATGATAGTTATTGTAACTATGTCAATCAGAAGGTTACAGTCACAGAGAGTCTGAGTCTGACAGACACTTCCATGGCAGAAGTTGAAACTGTGAGTGAATTGCTGTAATGTCACGATCAGAGACAAACCGATCAGAGACAAACCGCTCTTGAACTGCTTATGGGTGAGCAAAGAAACAGATGTCCGCAGATGAAACACACTCCTGCAGAGATGCTGGGAACAGTGTGCAGACAGCCACAAAGGACGTAGATGATGTCAGCTCAGGCAACTGCAGCAGTAAGCTTGAGAAGAAATGCAGCTCAGAAAGATATCCTGTGGGCACGTGCCGGTAGCACAGCGTGCCCCTGAGGCATCTTTCATGAAAGGAAGAATCAATCCTTGTGGCAAAGTTAACTGATGCCACATTTTAGGAAACCCCCACAACCAACCCACCTACCCTTCAGCACGGTGCTGACCAGTCAGCACTGGTCAATGTCAAGGTGAGATCTTCCACCACTAAGACAGTTACACCCTGCTGAAGGCGGATGATTGTTAGCATGTCTTAGCAGTATGTTATGATTAAGCACATGTTTAGAAACAATGCTGTTGAACACTTGACAGACTATGGGATATATAAACATAATTTGTACATGCACTGAGAAATTACCAAAAAAAGCATAATTTGCTCTATTGTGACGTTCACTCTACTGCAGAGCTCTGGAATAAAACCCGCAAAGTCTCTAAAGGTAGAAGCAGTGCTATTCTGAAGTCGGGAACGGACTTTTTGTCTTTTTTAAAGATTATTTTTATTGGAAAGTCAGATTTATAGAGGAAAGACAGAAACATCTTCCATCCACTGGTTCACTCCCCAGGTAGCTGTAACGATCATTGCTGAGCCAATCCAAAGCTAGGATCCAGGAGTATCTTTTGGGTCTCCAACGTGGGTGCAGGGTCCCAAGGCTTTGGGTCATCCTCAACTGTTTTCCTAGGCCACAAGCAGGGAGCTGGATAGGAAGTGGAACAGCTGGGATTAGAACCAGCACCCATGTGGGATTCCAGGCATGCAGGGCAAGGACTTTAGCCACTAGGCTACCACATCGAACACCAGAGACTGACTTTTTAAATCATAGAAATAGCTATAACTTGGTTTCCCAACCTATAAGATACAACTTTTGTTCCTTATCTTATGGAATGAGTATATTACATATTAGGTGATACAGTATATTATATTTGAGGAGATACAAGGTGGTATTTCCTAACTCCTCCCCTGTGGCTTGGCTGAAGTCCAACACGTACATAACCAGTATGGGGTGAGCAAATGGACAACGAGCAGCAAAGAACCGGTCATACCCCAGCTACATGATAATGGGACAATTGGAGAGGAGATACGCAAAGGCAAGAAAGGGGATGCACTATCTAAGTGCATTTGAAAGGAGAAATAAGTTTTCATACTGCTGTGTTCCAAATTACTTTGTCCAGCCAAGGCAGAGTATTTTAAAAGTACGTGAAAGAATTAGTAAGGAAAGTGAGTCCTCCTTATCCTCCATGCGTTCAACATCCATGGATATAAACAACTACAGATAAAAAAAAATACTCAAGAGAAAAAAATTGTGTTTTTCTGGTCTGTATTCCCCATGCAACCCATACCCCACCACATGGCTCTCACATGGTACTAGGTACCGGAACAAGTCTTGTTATGTTTTAAAGGGAAGATGTGAATGGATTCTATGGAAAAGCCATGCTGTTCTCTGTAACAACTCAAGTATCTGCATACTTTGCTAACAGAGGGGGAGGTCTAGAACCAGTCACCATGGACACCGAGGGGGGGATTGTTACTGTACTGCCACAGAGTAAAGCTGAAAACTGGGCCCATCGAATGGAAGAGTTTGTGGTATGTAACGCCAGAGAAGAAAAGATTGCGACGGTTCTCTGGAGTAATACTAAGCACTCGACCTTTATTCTCTAGGGAAGAAGTCATGGATTTCTAGGCAATCATTCTAGACAATGATCTTAAAACTGAAAACAAAAGCAGAGAACTGTAGAAAGCTTAGTCATCTGATGTCTAGTCACTTTCTCGGTTACTTTATAGGTATAGCCGTAACAATCATCCTCTGAGGATAAAGTACGCATATTTTGCAGAAACAGGTGTTTCACAGGATAGTCAATATGCTACGTGGGACATCCACATTTCCTTATCAGAATGCCCTGGTTCAATTCCTGGACTCTGATTTCAGCTTCCTGCTCACGCATCATGCATATGCTGGAAGGCAGCTGCTCAAACAGCTGGATCCCTGACATACGTGGGAGAACTGAACTGCATCTGGGGCTAGCCCAGCCCCATTCTTTGCAAGGATCTGGGGGCGTGAATCAGCATATGAAGATCGTGGTGTGTGTTCCATGCATGTGCGTGTGCACATCCGGCTCTGTCTTTGAGATAAAATTTCTGAGGAGTCGGGGGAGGGTCACTCAAAATCCCATTGTAAATTGGAAGTTCTAAAAAGCATTCACTTCCACCTGCAGATCACAGGGGGTTACACAAAGAGCTGAGCAAAGAAGCCGGGACAGAAGGTCAAAGGACTTGGCAGTTCTTCAGAAGTGTCCTCTGAACTGTATCTTACGCAAAGCTTCCGCTTCTGTTAGGAAGCAAGCAATGCATGCTACAGCCAATAAAACTACACTTACTCATCATAGCAGGTCGAGTTAAAAGATATTCTACCACTCTATAGAGACTGAAGGCCAATCACGTCCTGTTTTAGCAGCCTTCGAGAATGGCACCTTGTTCTTGCTTCCTGAAGCAGACATGGCTGTGCCCAGGAAGGCACTCACCAAGTCCTTCCCAAAGCTCATGCCTAAGTTTAGTGACTTATCCAAGATAAGCTCAATATTCCCTTCTGCTGGTCTAAGTCGGCTCTGGTTACTGGTTTTTTAGAGGAAAAAAAAAAAAAAAAAACAACAACAGTTTCAATCAAAACTCGCTTCTAAGATTTTGTTTTTAAAGATGAGAATATTAAAATGTCAAAGTCAAGAATGATGACAAAAGTTTGTAAGATGACGGTTATCAAGCTCAGCATTTATTGAAAGGTGGAAGACAAGAAAAATACCTCTTAAACTGCTCTAACAAATATCACACGTTTGCCAAGTGTTAATATTGAGAGCTGTTTTCTACATGACAATAAAACTTCAAAAAAGTAACTGAATGCCATTTTACCAAACAGTGCTGGTTTATTATGTACAAAAAAAAAAAAAATCTTCTTACCTTCCGTAGGTATTTGGGAAGAAAGTGCCTCACACGCAAAAACTTAATCTAAGAAAGCCTCCACACACCCAACCCTCCACAAAGTTACAGGGCGGATTAAAAATGAATAGAGAATGGTTCCAGCAAATGTACACACAGAAAAACATATACATGCACGCACACCTACATACAATATTATGCTGAATCAAGCTGATCTTTAAGGCCCACAGCCTTGGTGCCAAGGAAGAGGATGAATATGGCTTTATTAAAGTGTGCAACAAAGTACTACAGATATTTCAAATCTTCTGCTAGCTAACCAGCTATCCTGAGTAGGAAACATCCATTTCCTTAGATACCTCTAAGGGGATAAACAAAATGGGGGAGGGAGAGGTGCTGCAGTGGACCCCACAGAGGTTACCTTAGGTTTTTATGTAAAGGTCTGTATATCCATTTCATAACTTGCACAACAATTCTAGATCGTTAACGATCATACAGAAATGATATCTCCAGTGCTTTGTTGCTCTGGTCCAGGAAATTAAAAAATCAAACCAAAACCCTTATATTCAGATAAAGAGCTGGCATGTACTAACTAGGAAGCCATAAATAGAATGCAATATTAAAATAGAGTTTGTCTGTAACAAAGGCAGCTCGCAAGCTCTCAGATTCCATCTGCAGAGGATTTTAAAATTTATAAGCCGTAAGACAAGGAACATAAGCATTACTCAGGGTTGTATCCTGAAATCTGAGGCCCACACTGTGTATTTCACCTCCACGGAGATGAACACATTTCACAAAACTAAATTTTCAAATTGTGGATCTGTTTTTACGATAGCCTACATTGGCAGCTAGACCCGTTTGTTTTAGTTATGCCTTCCTTGAAGTAAAAAAAAAAAGTTTAAGGCTCATATATCTTAGAGGGAGACCCTAAAATTTTTTTATTGCAGTATGACATCAGTGTATCCATGTATATGCTACTGGAAAACTGGAACATACATACACACACACACACACACCTGGAAAATATATCACCCTTCAACTAAAAAACAAACAGAAAAACATTTTAGCTTCCCTTCCCATTTTTTCAAAACTGGTGTATGGAGAACTTTCACCCCCCAACAACTTAGGTGCAAATCCAAAAAGTTAACAGAAGCTAAAATTCATAGGAAAACATGATAAGACAAGTAACACGTGAAACAAGACCCCCTATTTACATCACTAGATCATCATTTGTGCCCTCCTTATCCCATGACATTTCCTATGTTGCAAAACTGTTAATTTCCTAGAAACCATCAAGATTTCCTAAGACATCTGCCTTCCTTCTTAGCAAACTGGGAGCCAGGAATGCAGCTAATTTTTGCTCTGGCAAACTGGAGCTAATGACCAGTTTTGACGGGCGCACGAGAGGCCAGGACAAACACTACACAGCAACAGTGGCCTAAGAAGAAACACAGAGTCCCCCCACTGGAAGTCATCTACCAAAGCATGGGCCCAGAACAGATCCAAAAAAAGAAAAAAAGCAAAACATGTTTGCAATGATCAGAGCTCCTTTTATCGATGCACATATCAGAGACTCTTGGTCTGGGTTGAGTCACAGTTCGCGGTAGTGCAGAAGTCCGTCATTACAGAGATCTGTTCTAGACAGGGACCACCTTAACTTCCCATCACGGTGTATGTCAGAGCTGCTTTTCAAAGGCAAGTGTTACAAGTCGTTGCCTTGCTAAGGCGGGCAAGGGATCCTGAGAACAATGAGGTAACACAGCACGCTGTTAGTTGCATGTGTGTAGAGAGCAGTTGTTGAGTCTTAGTCAGTGCCCGCCCTTTATGATTCTGTGGCTGCCATTTTTTCCCCTCCCCCGGACCCCATATTCAGGAAGAAAAAACGTAAAAGAAGATTGCAACTGATTATAATTAAACATTCAGTAGCTAAAGATTATCTTAGCTACTATGAAGTATAGCACAGATGCCCATTAGTAAGAAAATTTTCTAAACCCATCATTCCATACACAATAAAGAAAATGCACATACAACAGAGAAAATCTGCCCACATTATTAGAAGGTTTGGGTTTCATTAACACTCCTTATTTCTCCCATATTTCTAAAACCGTTTCTATTATCGCAACACCTTTCTTTACGGCGCATATAAATATTTTAAAATGTATTCCAGGGGATAGGGCTAAGGAGTGTCACATACTCATTTCATCGGCAACATAAGAAATTAATGATATACATATATACATTGCCATACATACACACATAAATGAACCTTGGTTCTTTAAAAATGTTTGCACAGTGTGAAAATTTAAATATTTACTAGATTCGGATACGCACATTTATACTCCACTGCCTCTCTAAATGGATATATTAGCAGAAAGAAATGCAATATATCAAATAAATGATTTAATTGAACTGTCAATTTGTCTTTGCAGACCCAACAGAAAACATATTTACTATGAACCTTTATTAAATGGCTCATGTATCAATATAAATCACGCTAAAAAAAGTTTTTAAAGCTATTTATACTACAGTGCTAACACATTTAAAATGAAAAAAAAAATTGGTATAAATAAGCTCTATGGAAAGCCTGAAGTTGTCAAAAAAAAAAAAAAGGAATTCTGGCTCATATTACAAAATATGTATGTTAATCTAAAACTTGGAACTCCAACTCAAATAATTTGTTTTTTAATTTCTTTATGTTTCAACCTGCAATGTTTACAGTGCAACTGGCCTTAAGTGCTTCTTACTTCACAGTTGTGGGCAGGCACTGAGGAATGTGTCAAAGCTACATAAACTCTATTTTGTAACCACATGTGGGAGCAAGTGGTTGGCTTGCTTTCAGAATTCATCAATCTTTATTACATTAATTAAAAAAAAAACAACAGAATATTTGTATGCACACATTTAGTACAAAATGTCCCCATCTTTTCCATCCTGATTTGAATGTGCTGAGTGAGGTGGCTTTGGGTCAGTTCCACCGAGGAGCCTACCAGGGCACAACTCTCCTTTTAATTCCTTGTTGCTGCTTGCGAATTTCGAATCCACACCAAGTTGAAATTCTGTAAATTGGACATGATCTAACTTTCCTTTCACGCTCTTGCCGTCCATAGCATTCGGTGCTCTGGTCTTTTCAGAAACATTAACATTCACAGGTTCTTCCTTGGTTCTTACAGATCCAACAGGTTCATGTTTAATCTGTTGTAATTCATATTTAGAATGAGATCTGTGTGAAAACACAGAATCCAAGGAGGTTTTGTTTCCAGCACAAGTCGTGTTGGCACCGGCAGACCCAAGAGCTGATGGCGCAGGATCTGGGGCCGTGCCTGGGTCCTGCGTAGCTGTGTCCTCAGAGGAGTGCTCCTCCTCTGAGTGGTATAGCTTCAGCCGAACGTGCCAGGCTAAACTGCAGACAGCTGAGACGGTCTTGAACTGGTGCACAACATTCCTTGGGATGAAATAAATGTCATTATCAAACAGCTGAATCCTAGCATATCGAATGCCTTCCCTCCTCAGTTGATTCAGCTTTGCGTCATCCACCCACTGGACACACTAAACAAAAAGAAAGAAGAAATCCAAATAAGTCTTTATTCCACAAATAAACCAAACGAAAGACAGCGATGCTTTCAAAGGTACCTGAGACAGGGGAGGTTCGTGCAAATCCAACTGCATCCGCTGAACCACTTCTAAGAAGTCCTCAGCATGGAAGCAGATCACATCTTTGGTTATTCGGGGTTGATCAGGCCTAAAAAAAATAAAACAGAATCATGAAGAATCAGCCCTGAATGTTTTACTATTATTAGTCCTTATTAAATTCCAAGCAAAACCAGTTGAAGGTGAAGACCAAAAAGAATTTCTTAAAAATAAAGTATAACTGGAGAACCACTTTCAATTCAAACCAAAAGCCAGGACTTCGAGTCTAAACACTGACTGGGAACAACCCACTTCACTTTATCACAGCTACTTTGTAAAGGGACTTTGAAGAAATTCAAAGTGATTTGAGTTTCAGTAAATAAGGCAAGCGCAAAAAAGGTGGGTGTTTTGCTCTAAACTTAAGGTCAGTCCTTCATAGAATTAAACTCAACATGCTGCAGAAAAATTTAAGAACATGATATTATGGAGGCAAAGTCAGGTACAGAAACACCAATCTCTCGTGACTTCACACAGGCACAGACTAGACAAGTGGTTACTAAAGGCTGAGGGTTTGGGGCTAAGAGAATCGACAGGTGGGGGGGCACAACTGGGTAGAAGGAAGCCCTTCTAAATGCCCTCTGTAATGTGCTAACACTTGGAAATATTTAATCAAAAGCAGCTGGTGAGGACGACTTTGAATGTTCTGAACACTGCTTTTTTTGGGTTTTTTGTTTTGTTTTGGTTTGGTTTTTTTGCCCTTCAGGACCTAGAGAAAATGAAATCACCATCTCCCTCAATGCAAATAAATGACTTCAACAATTCTAAGCCATTCAAACTGTTTAATACAATTTTAGAATTAGGACACCCAAAATACAGGGAAAGAATGAATCTTCCCTCCCCCCCCTCATCCCCCATAAGAAGTTACTAAGAAACTTTCCAAGGAAATGTTTAGAGGCCCAGGAGGCTTTTCATTAGAACAGCATAGCTTATGTACCACTCTCCACAGTGCACGGCCTTCAGTACCCCGACGGCAGCTGTCGTCTGTCGTTCGAAGCCTTGCCCGATGTGGTCCGCGTGCGCTCTCGTCCTGTCTTCAAAGAGCATCTCGCGAGGCTCACTGGTTCGAGGTAGGTACTGAAGGTTTTTGATCTCATTGGTAGTTCTGTTTAGAAACAGTAAGGGACACTCGTATACGGACGTTCCCATCAAACACCAGCTATTCAATCATCGACCACTCGGACCAAAGGAATGTGAAAAAATGACCCGCGTGGCCAGCAGGTTTCCATGAGGGCGTATGATGAGATATTTTAAGATATTCCCAGTTCTGTTTACATTTTACAAAAACATCCTATATGGACTGTACAGCAGGTACTATCCAAATAGTGACACGTGAGACCCCCCGCTAGAGAAGCCACTCTGCTCACACAGCCCTGGACATTGCAGAAACCACTCCCATTGTGCTGCAGAAAGGAGATGAGAGCTTTTCCAGCTGAGGGTCTAAGGTTTCTCTGTGGCTTCTAGAGACAGTTCTGAAGTGCCCTCATCATTTTCTCCTCCCCCTCTTCCCTAGCCTTCCAGGAGTCACTCTTGACTGCTCTTCGTCCACCCCTCCGTGACAGCCTTACTCCACATATAAAGAAAAATAATACTGCTCTTCATGCGTGATGTGCGTCAGAAAACCAGTAAGAGTGTCACTTCCTGTGAAAGACCACAAAGCCTTCCAGAGCCCACAAATCTGTCTCAGAAACACATGGTCATGAGTTCACCAAACCCCGGTGAGAAGGGCTATCACCTAAAGTCAAAATAAACAACAGATGCTGGTGAGCATGGGGAAGGTGCTAAGGTGCCCGAATCCACGGCTGGTGGGAATGCTAAGTTAGCACAACCGTTAGGGGGCACAGCTCGGAGATGCGAAAACAGCTCTACCATTCCACCCAGCCCTCCCGCTCCTGGGAATTCACCAGAACAAAATGAAATCAGTACATGAGTTATTTGGATGCCCATATTTAGAGCAACACAACTCACAACAGTTAAAGATACGGAACCAACTCCACCTAGTAAATGCCAGGATCCCATATGGATGCCAGTCCATGTCCCGTCTGCTCCACTTTCCCTCCAGCTCCCTGCTCGTGCCCTGGGAAAGCAGTGGAGGACGGCCCAAAGCCTTGGGACCCTGCACCCATGTGGGAGACCTGGAAGAATCTCCTGGCTTTGGATTGTCTTGGCTCCAGGTGTTGTGGCCATGAGGGGAGTGAATCAGCAGAAGGAAGATCTTTGTCTCTCCTTCTCTCTGTAAATCTGCTTTTCCGATAGAAATAAATAAATCTTAAGAAGAGGACAAATAGTGCAACCTGTGCTCAATCATTAAAAACAAAAGGCTAGTATCTCCCCCAGCATCACTCCCTCCCCCTCCACTTCCACCAACGTCCCCCTAGTGGACATTATTCCAAACCTTACTCTGTTGACATAAACAGACATTTATTTACACATCGGATTTTTCTTTCATAAAAACACAATGACCCTAGACATGTTATTCTAGGTTTGTGCCCCTTTTCAAATATCATGGATGTTCTTCCATATCAAAAGACATTAAAAACCAACCATCTCTTCTTAGTCTTGAAAGCACTTCATCCCCTATCCCAGGGTGGGTTCAGTGTCCGGCTGCACTGAGGCCTCCGGCTTCCTGCCAACAAGCACCGCACGCAACAGGTGATGGCGCCTGCCACCCACATGGAACACCTAACCTGAATTCCAGACCTCGGCATCAGCCTGCCCTAACTCTGTGGCAACTATCTGGGGAGTCAGCCAGTAGTCGGGACATCTCCATGTGTCTCCTTCAAACAAACTGTCACGTTTTTTGAAGTATATTAAATACATTCAACCATACCCCTGCTGGCTGGGCTTTCACACAATGTTAATGTTCTCTCTTACTATAGACATGCTATATAGACATGCTAAATACCCATTGACATTTTTACATATTTGCCTAAAGTGTTTTTATGGCTTGGGATAAAATTCCTCAAACTTGGGGTGCTGGATAAAGAGTCACAGTACGTTGCAAGTTTTATGGCTAATTGCTGAAAATGACTACAGCAATTCCCCTTTCTGTCAACAATACATAAAAGCTTACAAGCCTGGAATGTTTTCTGACTGAAATATTCTCGTCCTCCACTGCTTTCCCAGCCATAAACAGGGAGCTGGATGGGAAGTGGAGCAGCTGGACTTGAACCCACGCCCGGATGCCGGTGCTGCAGGTGGAGGATTAGCCTGGCACGCCACTATGCCACACCATCTTCTTCTGTCTCCCATAGCTTTCTTCCTTACAAACTGGGAACTCATTTTAGCTGGTGCTAGAAGCGTCAATTTAACTGTCTTAGTCTTCTGTTGTATCTTTTATAAAACGTTTTCGTTTTCTTAAGGTTTTAGGTACTTGTTAAATTCATCTCACAATAACTGATCTCTGATCTCGCTTCCCACTTCTAATGGTAACATGTTATTTGCGTACGTTTCATACCAAATTATATCAGCCTGTGTAGTTCTTTTTGAATGTATACTCTAATAAGGAGGCTCTCCAACTTCCCTTCCTCCAATTTCCAAGGTATAAACACACACACACACACACACACACACACCCCCTAAGACATACCTTTTCCTTTTGAAAGGTGACTTTGGCATGTCGGCCACGGGAATCATCTGCTCTCCGGGGCGCACCCACATGATGGGCCCATCATCGCTATCTGTCCGACTCTCTACTTTCAGACTGGACAGCGTCCCCCACGGCAGTGTACACTAGAGACAAACAATGATTTAGAAATCGATGATTCTTAAAACATACCTTCAAACAGCTCTTCCCTCACATACTTTCACACACAACTTTATCCTTAAGCATGGGTAATCCATGCCAGGAAAGAGTCATACAGCATAGCTTCAGGAACACAAACGCATTAAGGAAATAATGCTGTTTGCATCCGTATCTCCTCCCCCCAACCCCATGCTTCTCTTCCTTCTGGATCACATGAGGTTAATAAGCTGACAGAATAATCAAATGTTCTCCACATCAGTCTAGAGCAACGGGCAATCGTGTTTTATTTAAAAAAAATAAAAAGATAGCAATCACAAATTAACAAAATCAAAAAGGAAAACTAAAGTTTGTTCGATACCTTCTGAAAGAGACTGCTGGCCTAAACAACAGATGAAACTATTTGAAAAGAAAAGAGATAGCAGTAGTAGGAATCAGCAGCAGGCAAAGGGAACAGGGGTGAGGAGGGCTAACTGAGTGACACTGTCCATAGAAAGGTGACCCAGCACTAAGGGCCTGGCACAACGGTTCCGTCGGCTAATCCTCCTCCTGCAAATGCCAGCATCCCATATGGATGCCGGTCCGTGTCCTGGTCACCTCACATCCCATCCAGCTCATTGCTTGAGGCCTCAGAAAGCAATGGACGATGACCCAAAGCCTTGGGACCCTACACCCACGTGGGAGACCCAGAACAAGCAACTGACTCATGGCTTCGTATTGGCTCAGTTCCAGCTGTACCAGGCATTTGGGGAGCAAACCAGCAGATAAAACATCTTTCTGCTTCTCTTCTCTTTAAATCTGGCTTTCCAATAAAAGTTAATATATCTTCTTTATTTAAATGGCATTTAAAAAAAAACACACGTTAACCTGGAAAAAGGGAGGACTGTCAAATTCAACTTTTCTAGAAACTATAGAATATTAGCTCATTTGCAATTAAAAAATGAGAAATATTTAAATAATATTTTTTCAAAAATTTTAGTAGTAAGTACAATTAAATTCTATAAATAGCTGGAAGAAACAGAAAAGCAACAAAGTTTAAACAGAGTTTTAAAAAAGGGGGACATGCAGCCCAGTGAAACAAAAATGTAAGGAATGTAAACATGAGGTGGAAAAATTGAGCTTGCAGAAAGTAAAAAGAAGAGACGTTCAACAGATTAAGTGAGATTTGAGATCATTATAATCTGCTGTCCACTTATACCCTAAATTGCAATGTGGCTTTCCCACGACCTTTGAATTACCAATTCAATAACAAACATAAGTACGCCAACCGAAGTGTTCTCCTGGTGGGACAGCCCCAGCAGCCCACAGTCAAAATATTCCCTGAAATGCAGAGGCTTCTTTAAAAAGAGAGAGAGAAAGAAAGAGAAAGAGAGAAAAGAAGAGGAAGAGGAAGAAGAAGAAAAAGAATCGAGGTAGCTCAAATTTAGAGAAGTAAAATGGGTATTAAGCTACACGGTCAAGGTCAAAACACCTTCTATTTGGAGGCCCAGAAAGGGCCTGCCCAACCAGCTCCGAGAAGTCACGGCTGACCATGCGGATGTACAAACTCCCAGGCCAGTTTTCCACAATGCCAATCTACCACTCCTTTGCCCTAAACACTGTGATTCAGCAGAGATCCTTCCTAGACCTTCATGCGTTCAGAAAGAGCCGAGAAGCACGTGGAATCCAACAGGGCGTAATGAGAACAGGTAAATCTGGCCCATCGCTAGGCCTTGTCAATATGGTCAGAACTGGCGGTGTGCGTCCACTGCACAAGAATTACCCTGAAGTGCTTCTCTCCTTTCCTCCGATCCAAATAAAACCAAACTCTAAATCCGAAAGAGCTGCTCATTTAGATCGGCCGCCGCCATCAAAGTAATAGTAGCCAGACTTGGTGCTTGCTGGCCTTCTTCCCTCTTACTTTTAAAAATGGTGACTCTTCCAGCATGTCAAGGAATTCTGGGAAGTAGTCCCCCACTTCTTCATCAACTGCTCCCACCAAACTTATCTGTCGCATCGGGCCAGCTCTGTAAGTACCATGAGAGTAGGTCCTTTTCACCTGAAGAACAGAAATTCAATTGACCGTTAACTATACACCAATTAAATATTTAAAAGAAAAAAAAAAAACACTAGCTAAAGATACATGATATCGCTGTGTAATCAATAACACGATCTCGGAATACTAGAACGTAATACAATGCAAGCAAAACAAGAAAGCTAGGTGAGCTACAGAAAGGAATTCTTCAGCATCCACTTCCTTCACTAGAATGCTGCACCCCAAAATGCTGATCCTGCGAAGTCACCTACCATCCTGGCATTCACATAGCAACAGTGAGGCGACCTGTACCCCCAGAATCCACACTGCCTAAATTTTCACAACAGAAACCTGTGTGTGCCCAGGTGCTCACGCTGCTAAACAAGCTGTCTTGTTTTAAGTCAGTAGGTGGTGGGTGGGAACCAAACTTCTTTTAGAAACTTTAGAAGAAATTCTACTTTCTCTGGATTAGCCTTTATGGTCAATAAGTTTAGGAGACCAATTTGTCCTAGTGTGTCCAGGATCATCCCCGTTTTAAAACAGAACAGTAGGCAAACCCAGGTAGTCAACCTGCGACCACATCACAGAAGTTTATAATCCAACGCATATGTCTTCAGAAACACGACAATAAAAATTCAACTGAAATGGAATTCTTTAAGACATGAAATATTCCTATTTTTACATCTTAATCAGCAAAGGCAATATAGCAATGACATGTTAATTCATTCATAAGTTTATTTACCAGAATTCCAAGCCCTGGGTTTTCATTCGTTGTCAAACATTCAGCTTTCAGCACCCCCAGCCATTCTGCAAGCCCCAACTTGGAAACTCAGATATCAGCTCCTGCTCTCATGATCTTCCTGTCTCCCGCCAAGTTCCTACCGCTTGATTCACCGAGACCTGAACTTGAAACCTGACTGTCCACTAGTCTCCCAGATTTTTAGTTCTCTTATTTAGGTGCACGAACAGGACCACGATAAGAAAATCAGGTACTGCCGTACATGTTTGTAACGCAGTCTGATAAAGCCAAACCTTTCGGTGTGAACTCCAGCATACTGACAATACAACGCGTCAGACTGAGTTTGTGGACTGTCTTATGTCCGCAAATGACGACATCTGAGAGCTCAAGGGGACGTTACGAAAGTGAACCAAATAACACGTAAAAAAACACTAATTTTCCAAATGTTTTGAAACGTCATTTGGCTCTCAAAAAGTCAAACCAGGAAGGTGCCGGTTCCACTTCAGACAGTAAATTTCGCATGTATGAATTTCCTCGTCTGGCTTATGTAAGATATTTCATCGAAATCAGTAGTTGAACAAAGCCAAAAATCATAAAATCCTAGCCATCAAGTTGTTGCCTCTCTCTTATCACAGCACTAAAAAAAAGACAGCTTATCATGATGCAGAGGGAGTGACCGTTAGAAGAGGAAGTCATAAAATGAAATACACATCTAAGCAAAAAATGTTCAAAGAATTATTTATTTTTATTGGAAAGGCAGATTTACAGAGATGGAAAGACAGAGAAAAATCTCGCATCTGCTGGTTCACTGCCCATGTGGCCACATGGCTGGAGTTGAGCTGATCTGAATCCAGGAGCCAGGAGGTTTTCTTCTGGGTCTCCCACCTCAGTGCAGGAGCCCAAGAACTTGGGCCTTCCTCCCCTGGGAGGGGAGTAGAGCAGCTGGGATACAAATAGGTCCTCGTGTGGGATCCTGTGGCTTGTAAGTGGGAAAGGGGGGCGTGGTTAGCCAGTTGAGGCATCAGGCTGGCCCCAAAGATTTTGCTTTTTGCTTTAAAGGGTGACAACAGGAGAGAGGAATCTCCTGCCTTTAAAAGCAACACCTGCTTCTGAGGCACTCGAAGATCTCCACCAATGAGCATGCCACAAGAGGGAGACATTGTCCATCCCATCCAACATGCACTTTCCAATCAAGATGGGTACTGACATTTCGTTAGCAATTTATTACCAAAACACACATGTAAACTTCAGACAAGACAAGAAACTAGCAGTGCGTTATTGAAATTAACACACCAAAGGGTAATAAAGCTCTTTTCTTGATATGGTGCTCTGCTTGAAGAATGACACAACGAACAGTCTTCATTAACCTGACATCCAACACAGTGAATGACCCTAGAAGGAATTCAGCAAACTTATCAGGTCTCTCCTCTCGATCTTCCAAAAAAATGGGCAAACACATGATATTATCCTTCTTAATATTTTCACTCTCAGAAGAGCAGACATTCAATCAAGGAACACGCTGATGTAAATTTCTTAACAACTCAGAGCCAGGATAAAATGAAAATAAGATGGAGGGTTCAGAATTAGAGGAACCATAAGACAGCTGCTCAGTACTCCTAGTCTGCGTGGTTTTTAATACAGAGTTCAGTGCGCACACTGGTTCCATACAAAGTGACACGAAATCTCTTTCACTTCTGACAGATTAAACTCCTGTTTTGCTTGTCTTTCTGTATCCCTACCATCTAGTACAGTTATGCTAAGACAGTAAATATTATCACTGTGAAGATTATAGAACCAGTTAAATGAGGTGTCATCTTCTAGCATCCACAGAACTTAAGGCAAATTATTTGGCTGCCCTGAAAGAAAAGGAAACGGATGGGGGGGGGGGGCGGTAAGGAGGAGGGCAGCAAAGTAGAATGGACAAGAGGGAGTGGATGGGGAGAGGGAGGGAAGGAAGAACCAAGAGTGATGGAGATGGCTGGGGTTCCACAAGCCACTGGTCGCCTGGACCATGGCTGTCCACCCTGGGATGCTGCTCACGCCACCATCGTCCAGGACCACAGCACAAGGCGCACGCACGGCAGCCCTGCTGGTGGCCATGGTTCCCTTTGGGTCTGACTGAACTTCTGAAATTCAAATGAATGCATTACATACAGTGTTACAATCTTCTGTATATGAACACAGATGAAAGCAATACAGACATTTTAACAGCATCCTATATCACTGTACCCATCAGAGCACAACCGCAAATATTTATATGCAAGAGTCTCCATTTGCCTTTAGTAATTAAATGTATCTTCCTAAGATTATATAAAACAATAAACAGTAGATTCTTACTCTTTTCTATCAACTCCATTCTATTTTTCTCTTCTCATAGGTTTTCGGAGCTTTTGAATACAGCTTTGTGGACTGATTTTTTTTAAAAAAAAATTGTATCAAAGTGTTTTTTTTTTTTAGCATATGAAAGGTAGAAGACTTTAATAAGAGCAATTACAGATAGTTTTTGCATCACAACATTTTACAAAAGTTTCTTTACTGCTGTGCTTCACTCTGCCTCACAGAAGCATCATCGTCTCAGGACTAAAGGAGTTGTGCTGGACCCGGCCTACCGGTGGGGTAGCGGTAGTTACCGTGTAAATATTAGGACAGCAAGCTTCCCTGCTGAGCGGCCCCCGGAGCCCCCTGACTTCATCGCCTGCAGCTTGTTTTTGTGATGGTTGACACTGACTGAAATGACATTCTGATACTGGTCTCCCATCCTTTCCCTCCCATCCCTTCCCTCTTCTAGAACACTGAGACTAACTCACCAGGCAGTGTGCCCACCGAGCTACATGACAGAACTAAACTATGCCGTCTCACTATACGAATCCAGGAAATGGAAATCACTCTTTTCTAAATTTCAGATAGTCTAAATGCTACACATTGCAAATGTCAAGCAGACGCATGATACCATAGGTAGAGAAAAACCAGGGTGGGGGAAGAGAACTGAGGCACGAAACGCATTTTCAATTTCTCAAGGTGAGTGTGAATGTCATGGTCTAACAAGTGCTGAGAGCTTCCAAGGTCTCAAGGTTGATAAACAAAATGGAATACCTAGGAACTAATCTAACACAAGATATGCAAAAGTTCTACGCTGAAGGTCAGAAAACACTAGGAGAAAATGGAGAGAGAAATACAGACGACTCCCCGACCATGGGATGGCTCAAGACGATGGTCACCAATTCTAACTTAGCCTCAAAATCAGCATCACACCGATCATTATTCCAGAAGATTTGTATGTGGAATTTGAAAATATGATTCTAAAGTTTATATGGGAAGGTGAAGGGTCAAGGAAACCTTAAAGAACAAAACTGGTAATGCTATATATTCTAAAGCCATGGGATTAAGACAAGTAGGGCAATGGAGTTAGCGGGCTTCGATCTGAACTTCCATGTACACAGCCAAATGATTCGTGACTAAGGTGATATTGAAATGCGAAAGACAGGACACTAAGTTTCCAAAGGGGGAAAAAAAAATTACAGATAACATAATAATGACCTTCAAGTAGGCAAAGATTTTTAAATGAAGCCACTAAAGGTACTAAGCACAAATGATTACAGACTACATCAATTGTAAGAATTCTAAAGGTATTCTTAAGAGTGAAAGAGAGATGGCTGCTGCGGCCCAGTGGGTTAAGCTGCCATTTGGGATGTCCATATAATGGAACGAAGTGCTTGCTATCAAGTCCCACCTCCACTTCCAATCCAGCATCCGTTCATACAATGGGAGGCAGCAACTGAAGGCTCAACCACTTGGGTCCTGCCATCCAACGCACGAGACCTGGGCAGAGTTCCGACTCCGTCTTCGGTTTGGTCCAGTGCTTGCTGTGGTGGCCCTCTGGGGAGTGAACCAGCAGATGAAGAGCCCTCAGTGTCTCTCTCCTCCCCTCCTGCCTTCTCTGCCTTTGTCACGCTTGTCTCTCTCATGCCCCTCTGCCATTCTCGCTAGGTAACAGATAAATGAGTCTTTCAAATCAACAAATCAGCCCCTAAAAGTGCAAGACACCAAGTTAGAGGAAATACTTGCAATACATTCAGCTGACAAAAAAGACTCTGACCTAAACATGCAAATAAGAAAATGGGCAAAAGGTTAGGTAATTTACAAAAGAGGATATTTGACTGAAAATAATCATATATAAAACCACTTGGCCTCCTTAACCAGCAGGGTTAATAGAAATTAAATCACACTGAGCTATTACTAGCTAATCACCAAAATGCCTAACATGAAAAATACAGATTCTACTAAACTTGCCCAGGATGTGAAATAATGCCAGTGGAAATGTCAACTGGTTACGGTAACTTTAGAAAACAGACAAGATTTAGCAAAGCTGAGTATCTGCATCACTTTTGATCCAGAAATTCCGATCTTGGGTACTCAAGATCCACACCGGTCACCCACACACAATTATAACAGTATTCCCAGTTCCTCTGTTGCAACAGCTCCAAAGTCAACACTGCAGTTAACTGGGGTCAACTGTGCTAAAGTCACACCGTGAAAAAAATCATAAAGCCATTAAGAAATGAACACTGCTACGCGGAAGATGCATGAATGTCACACACAGGACCCTGAGGAAAGGACAGCAGATACGATACACACACCACTGGGATCCTCACAAACAAAGGTCAGAGAGCGTGCGAATTTACCACTGACGTTCAAAGTGAAGGTGGACCTTACCCGGGATCAGGAAGTCAGCAAAGTGAGAATTGAAAAAAAAGGTTCGGAAAAAGTCTCCTGACTAATATTCTATTTTCACAATCCCAATATGTTCACTTTATGAAGATTCATCAAATGCTTACGTAACGTGTGGTTTTCTCTGTGCAAGTACATCAAAGGAAAATTTAGTGGGGGAAAAAAAAAAGACAAAAACAATCAATTCCTGCAGGGACACAGGACATTACTTAAGATACAGAGCTTGTTCGAGGAAAACTCAGGGAGCAGAAAGAGAAATAAGCTGGCTTAAATACGCATGCCCGCTTTTCTCCCACTCATCTCTCCTGGGATCATGAAGCTGACGTAAAAGAGCACACCTAGGGTTCCTCCACAGCGCAAAGAGAACAATCTGTTCCAAGTCTTAAGCTTTCAAACAAAATCAGAGGAGAAGCTCAAGGCAGGTTCTCGGTGGATATCCTTCCCCAACCTCGGAAGTGATGAGAGCATGATCAAAGCGTACACCCTGCACACAGCCTCCTGCACTCATTCTAAAGCTAAAGAAGCAAACCCTGACCTTTGGATAAGATGCGTTTATTCGAAAGGCAGAGTTTAGGGAAGGAGAGAAGAAGGCAGGGAGAGAGTTCCTACATCTGCTGGCTCACTCCTCAAATGGCCACACTGGCAAGTGCAAAGTCAGGAGCCGAGAGCCAGGAACTCCATTCTGGTCTCTTACGTAGGTGGGGGCCATCCTCTGCTGGATTCCCAGGCCATTAGCAGGGAGATGGGTCAGCTACACTTCCAGGATGATGCTGAGATACAAGGCTTTACCCACTACATCACAACACAGACCCCAGGCTGATGTACTTGAATCACTAAGCTGGCAGATCACACAGCCATGAGGCCAGGGCCACAGCTGGTGACACAAAGGAGGCACCTGTCGAAGAGCTTCGTCTGTGCAACACACGGTTCACAAGAAGCACAAGGAGGTGGTAACAAGCAAGAGGTGTGGTTCATTCAGGACTCATTCACACTGCAATCTAGGCCCACAACGACACAATTAAAGAATCCAGCATCTCCAATATGTTCTATGTCATACAGAAAGTAGGAAATGGAAATTAACCAAATACATACACTCAATGCTGATTTTCTTACGTAGATGTTCTTATGTACATTCTTACACAATAAGTGGTAATTCCTTGTATTATAATAGATACTCAATACTTATTCAACAACTTCTGTGTGAGGGACCCAGTACTAAGCATTTATTTTTATTTACTTGAAAGGCAAAATCACAGAGAGAGCTATCTCCCACCCCCGGCTCACTTCTCAAATGGCCGCAATGGTTAAGAATAGACCAGGCTGCAGCCAGGAGCCTGCAACTCCGTCCAGGCCTTCCACATGAATGGCAGGGGTTCAGGCACTTGGGCCACCTTCCAATGCTTTCTCAGGCACATGAGCAGGGAGCTGGATGGGAAGTGAAGCAGCCAGGACTCACACCAGTAGTCACACAGAATGTCAGCTTCGCAGAACCACAACTCAACTTGCTACACATCACCAGCCCTAGTACTAAACACTGCTAAGGCAATATAAAGCAAGAAGTTCATTTTCAGGGATTGAAACTGTTGAAGGAGGGCCTGGCATGCTACCCTAGCAGCTCAAATCCTCACCTTGCATGCACCGAGATCCCATAGGGATGACAGTTCATGTTCTGGTTGCTCCACTTTCCATCTAGCTCCCGGCTTGTGGCTTGGAAAAGCAGTTGAGGAATGCCTTGAGTCCCTGCACCCACCCGCGCCAGAGACCAGAAAGAGGCTCCTGGCTCCTGGCTTCAGATTGGCGCAGCTCTAGCCGCTTGGGGGGGAGGTGAATCAATGGACGGAAGATCTTCTTCTCTGTCTCTCCTCCTCTCTGTATATCTGACTTTGCAATCAAAATAAATAATAAATCTTTAAAAAAAAAAACTGTTGAAGAACTTGGAAAAAAATACAGGGTCAATTTCATTAGGTCCTACCTAAATCCTTGCAAAGAAAGACAACAGAATCTAATTGTTTTAGGAAATAAAAAAAAAGATGAAGTAGAAACTCAAGTTTAGGTTTTGATGTTCACATCAAGAAGCGATTTGCTCTTAATACATCCCAATGGTTTCATCATATCCTTACCTTTTTTTATGAAAAAGAGCCACTTTAGGAACAAAGGAGAGAAACGTGTCTAAGACACACAATTAAAACTCACTGCAGAAAAGCAAACTCGAAACCTCTTACCTGAGCACGAAAATTGGACATAGTCGTCGTCTCGATATCTTTCTTTCCCAATATCTCCATTTTCACCGGCGAATTGGGAAAATGAAACGAGAAGTAGTCTAAAAAGTCGGGCAAATAAGCAGCCGCCCCATGAACAATACCCATTACATAGAAAGCAGAAGCGTTTTCATTCTCACTGAACACCAGACCCACGAATTCCTCGGCGAACCTCTCCATCTCCACGGGAGACAGGTGGGAGAGTTCGTTACTGTAGGCGTGGACCACCGAGGCACCGCCATTCGGCTGCTGCTCGATGTGGATGAGTCGCTTGAACTCCAGAGTGTCCAGTCTTTTGAGGTTATTCTGCACTCGTGGCTCCTTTAACGCCACAAATGGACACTCGCTGTTCTCTGGCCTCCTGGGCTCAGCGTCCTTGGTATCCCAGTGCTTGCCAGCGTCGTGGTGCACGTTTTCACTTAGGATGCCTTTGGTTTCCTGGTCTTCCACGTCGGCCAGCAATCCTGAGCACACGGTCTGGATGGACTTGCTGTACATCTTCGGCCGTTTCCGTTTTTCGTTCTCTTTGTGTTTCTTTTTCTTTTTCTTCTTCACCTTTTTCATTTGTAAGTCTTCCACGCTTGCTTTGGTTTTCTCCTTCCCACCTGTTGGGCAAAAAAAAAAAAAAAAAAAAATTTTTTTTTTCAAACTCCACATTTGGATGACTTGAAAGACCATGCTTTAGGAAGCTTTTCGTAAAAAGTTCCCCTTCCAAAAAAATTTATTCACGTTTGCATCTGGGGCTCATTTCACGCAGTATTTATGATTAAAATTTAGCCAATCGCTCTTTCTCTATACATACTCGTGTTGATCTAAGACAGGCATATTACAAAATTACACTTTTAGCGCAAGCCACCATTTCTAAATTTTTAGTATGCTATAGCAGAATGACAAAGGGCTGCCTTGGCATAATCTTCAAACTTGAAAAGCAAATATTCAGAAATGGAAGGGTTTAAGAAGGTAAATACGAAAATACTTTCCAGATGTTTCCTAGTGACAGACTTGTACACATTGTCAATTTTCCCTGGGTATCAAGGAGATTTCTGAATCATAAAAGGAAAAAAAACAGACGCGCTGATACCTCTTTCTTACCAAGTTACTTTTCACTTTAAAATGGGCTATTTCAAGGTCCACCACAGGTTACAGTTCCAACTGAAGATCTCAGGAGGTATGATAAACGAGATGACGAAATTACCTCCTTCTCTCATGTTCTAAACTCAATTTGCTGCCAAGGGAAGCTCATTTTACTTTATATCCTGAGGACAACCACATCCTGAGGCCCCAAGAACCCGAACAAACCACAGAATCTGGAGGCGGTATTGGGAATTCCCAATACACACAGGTAAAATGCATTCTTTCTTCACATTATCCCAAACCAGGGTGTCAGCATCCATTTGGATTTCAAGATCTTTGAGTAACCTCTCACTCATCCTCTATATCTGCATATGACATGCATTATCTATATTTCTAGACAATTCTAAATTATTAGAAGGCAACAGGGCTACTTCAACATCAATATTCTTTTATACAAGAATATTTTGAATTAAAAGATTAATTTATCTCGATGCACAAACAGATTTATGCATAGTAATTGCAGAAAACATTTTGCCATTAACTTTCTGCAGATTCCTCACGTGCATGAATTTCAAAAATATTTGCCCCAAATATGCTTTTTTTGTTTTAAAGCCTGAATTCATTTTTTAAATTAATTAATTAATTTTAAAAGCAGAGAGGGGAGATGAGGCGAGGATAAAGCGGGGCAGAGACAGAGAAATCCCCACACACACAGGTTCACTCTCTTAATCCCGGTGAGAGTCAAGGCCACGCCCGGCCACGCCAGGCCACGTCAGGCCACGCCAGGACACACCAGGAGCCTCGAGCCAATCAGAGTCTCCCACATGGGCTGCAGAACAGAGCTACTTAAGTCACCATCGGCTGCTGCCTCCCAGGGTGCCCACTGACAGAAAGCTGGACTGGAGATGGCAGAGCTGGTTCTCAAACCACGTCCTCTGCCAGGGCATGTCCATGTCCCAAGCGGCATTGAACTTCTGTAGCTGACCCCATCCCCCGAGCAAGGGCGCTGTGACACATCCACATGGGAAAAGTGTCTAAAGGGCACACTGCTGCAGATCCTTCCAACAGAGTCCCTAAATCAGACCCATTAAAGAACTGTGAGTACTGCAACCAAGAACGGAAGTGCCAAGTCATCTGGACACTCAAGAAGTACACGATTAAAACACCTGCAGACTTGTGTCAAGGACAGTGCTAGCCTTCAGAGCCAGGGAATCAGGAACAGAAATCCAGACAAACAGAAAGCCAGAGTGAGAAAGAATCACACATTAAAAAAAAAAAAAAAAAAAGATATGAACAGTATGTTTTCCCAATGGTCAGTAAGGAAAACCACCCTTCAAAAATGACAAATTCAGTGGGTACACATTGTGGGTTAGCCAGATAAGCCACTGTTTGGGGTGCCTGCATTCCATATGCCTGGGCCTGGAGGTCTAATTCTGCTTCTTGATAACACCCTCCACATACCTTAGAAGGCAGGAGATGATGGTTCAAGTGTTTGAGAACCTACCACCTAAGTGGCAGGCACGAATGGAGATCCTGGTTCCCAACTTCACCTGGCCTAGCACCAGTTGTTGGGGGTACCCAGGGAGCAAACCACTGGATAGAAGATCTCTGTCACTCTTCCTTTAAATACATACATAAATAAATAAATTTTAAAGCTCCAGATGTGACAGTAAAACATAGGTGCGTGATTTTAAAATACCATGGTTACTAGAACCAGTGGGGTGGCATAGCCAGCTAATCCTTCACCTGTGGCATGGGTTTTCCCATATGGATGCCAATTTATGTCTCGGCTGCTCCACTTCTGATCCAACTCCCTGCTAATCTCCTGGGGAAGCAGTAGAAGATGGTTCAAGTCCCTGGACCCCTGCACCTGCGTGGGAGACCTGAAGAAGCTCCCGGCTCCCAATTTCAGTCTGTCCCAGCCCTGGCCATGGTGGCCATTTGGGGAATGAAGCAGCAGATGGAAGATGTCAGCTTTTACGTTGCAAGAAATAAGATGGGTCTAGAATAGAGTTAATACCTACTTCCGATTTTTCAAGCTATCATTCAACAAGTAGTGGGTGTATGTGGCGCAGCTTACAATGCTGGTACGATTAGAAGAAAGACATGGGGAGAGGACGAAAGTTGGGGTCCATAAAGGAAAACAGGACATACAATAGGAGCTAACAGCATACTGCTCCCCTCCAATCAACTCTACTGTCATCCTAGGAACCAGTGACCAGAGCAGCCTCTCGCTAACTCACAGGCTCACTCCGGATCTGGCCATGCCAGCCACATAAATTACTTTCTCTGGATGACAACAGGCGACACCGACTTGGTACTTACAATGGGACAGGCGTTAAGCTCCAAATGAGTTGTACTTTTAGTTGTTTCTCTATGAAAACATTACATACGGAGAATGGGACACAGTTATGGCTTTGTTTTCTTTTTCATCACAAAAGTAAGCTTTCCGTAAGTGTTTACAAGAAGTTATATCCACTTTGTGTGTATCTGTGGCATGCATCCAACACATCCCCTCACTGGACCGTTACAACACTATAAAGCAATAACTGAATTATTACTTATCTTCATTGTACAGTAGAGGCACTGTTCCTATATGTCCCCTCTCCCCCAAGAGGGCAAAATTTCACTTCCAAATCTGATTCTTAGTACAGCTCGACTCAAAATATCTCTGAACTTTTTGGTCTGCTTCAATGTTCAGGTTAACATTGCATATTTCTAGAAAAATCTGTATTTTACATTATGTTTGCCTATGTAATCTCTAGATTTCAACCAAAACAGTTTTATGTATCTCTAAGATTCTTTCTCAAGTGACAGAAATGCACAGCACTGTACAATCAAATGGATAACACAACCAGTTTCTTACCAAACCAGTAAAAACAAAATCACTATTTGACTAAGCCAACAGGGTGAAGATTTCAACTGTTAATTATCTGCTGCACAGCACGCTAGTAATGGTTAGGTTTAATTTCTGCCTCCAAGGCGTGCAATCTAATTAGACAACACAGACAAAATACAACCACAAAGAAACAGAACTAAGGATTGTTTACATGAACTAAGTTGTCATCAACTGAAGCTTAGACATGGTTCTTCAAGGTCAAAAAGATATTACAGAAGGTAAAGTTTGGCGTATAAGAAACAGAGCTTATACTAGGTGTCACCTGCAAACATGGCAGAGTGGGAGATGAGACGTGGCGTTTAAGACTTGTCCTAAATAACATTTAACTCGCTATTTCGTTGGGCAAGCTGTACTGTGGCACTTTCTCCCTCAGTGGAAATAAAGGCTTACCAACACAAATTCACTTCAAAATTAATCGAGATCAACTGTCAACAGGACAGCTAACGAATTTACTAATTATCAAGCAAAGGAATGCCTCTGATTCTTCAATCCACTCAGGGAAAAAACAGATAGCATCTGTATTCTATCACCCAGCTACCACCATACGCTCCAAGTTCTTCTTCCTGTCCCACCCCCAGCTATGGACCTACACTATATACGATCGTCAACAATGGAAAAAAAACAGGAAATGGAAAAGGAAAGGGGATATACTTGGGCATGCAGGAAACTGCTTCTGATCTAGTTCAAGGGTAAAAATATCCCTCTGAATTCTAGACAATGATGTGGTGACCAAATACTCTTTAAGAAGGCTTTCTTCTTCATCCTTACTATACTAAACAAGATTGGTAAGGATGAGTAATCTAATGGGTTAGTGATGCTTAATCCGTAATTTCTACATTGATTCATAAATCAACATACTGAAAACAAGTTACCTTGTGGATAAGAACTCCCTTTGGGATTCTTCCTTATGTCCTTACCGTTAATATTTCTTTCTCAGCCGAAATCAGCACCGAGTACCAGCTCGGATTTTAATCACTTCAGTAAGCACACTGAGGAGTACAGTGCAGAACTAAAATCCCTGCATGTAAACTTACTTTTTAGCAACATCTTGACTTCTCCATTCTCCTTCTTGATTTCACTCATTACTTTGTGCCTCTTTTTCTCTCTCTCTTTGTCTCGTTCTTTAACTTTGATTTTATCTGAAAGACAAAATATTGAAAACTATTACCTATTACTTTTCCCTTCATGAGGTATATTACATTTCTGGAATGGAAATACACAAAGAAAATCAAGCTAAGAAACAAACATCCCATCGCTATTTTTTTTCTATTCAGGTTTTTGGGAATATTTATAAAATTCCTCTCTTGGTAAACATAAAACACATAATGTCAAAATGTATCACTATAGTTATTCTATAGTGCTAGTTATTCTTTATTTCCTGTCAAAATAGTACAATCACTTCAGATGACTGAATAATTTTAATTGAACAGAGTACTGAAATAACAAATGCTAGTTTTAAAACTGGGTACATCTGAATTGAGAACACCGACACTGGAAAAATTCCCCAGTCTTTTTCCTGGACTGCAAAGTGGTAACTGACATTGGCTCCTAGGATGACTGTAAGCATTTAACGAGGGTGGGGATCCGGATGCGACTGTGCAGAAGGGCCTGATGGTCAGCAGGGAGGGAACAAGGGAGAGCAGCTGAGGCTTTCCAGCTGTGTGGCCCACAGTGTGACAGCAGCTCCACCTGTGCCAACAGGGCATAGCCTCAGCCAACACCCAAGGATGGCTCCAGCCAGGTACTGCTGCCCCTTGTTGGACAGCCTCGCCCAACCCAATCTGTATCATCCAAGCACCAATCCAAACTCCCATCACATTGTGTGCATCGCTTAGAACCACCACCCTGCACTCTGCCTAAACCTACCTCTGCAGCACCCTCTAAACTAACAAAAATCATAAATCCCACAAGGGAACCAGTGCCAGCCGGAAAGATCCAACACGGCAGCAGGATGTGTCTCGGAGAGTCTGTAGGTCATTATAGGGTTATTATCATCAAATTACTGTAGAGGCTCTCCCCTCCCATCATTCACATGATACCGTGACACTTCCAGTGTTTCAAGACAGGGGCACAGAAATGTAGGGTATGCAAGCCCCATCCCAAACTCTGTTGCTTTTGAATATTCAATTAAGGCCCACCCAAGACACCACCTCCTACGCCTCCAGATGCCACAAATGGCCCGATCTTTGCTCAGGGTATATTTTTTTTTCCACAGGTGCTTTCTGTTCTCTCTTGGTGTCTCTGTCTTCCTCTCTCAAGTTGGCCCGTGCTTATCTCCTGAATGTGTGAAATCCTACTTTCCTGCACGCCTCTATGTCTCCACCTGGATTGTTCCATGCATAGAAAAAGAGCCTAGAGCCAATCCGAAGCCAGGAGGCAGGAGCTTCTTCCGAGTCTTCCACGCAGGTGCAGGGTCCCAAGGCTTTGGGACATTCTCTACTGCTTTCCCAGGCCACAAGCAGGGAGCTGGACAGAAAGTGGAGCAGCGGGGACACGAACTGTCCACCCACGTGGGATGCCAGTGCTTGGAGGTGGAAGATTAGCCAATCGAGTCGTGAGTTGTTGTGCTAGGCGCTGAAGAAGCTGAAGAAATGTCGGCAGCATTTCATGCCAAACATTTCAACCACAAATTCTTGCAGCACACACCTCTAGGAGGCCTCATGCCTGCAGTTTTGCCTACCCTGAATATGGCCCATAATTCACACCATCATACTGCAACCCGTGAAATCAATTCCTTTGAGCAACAACACTGTTACCCCCCCCTTCACCTCCCACACCCGGCCAGGAATAACATTTGGTTAGAAACGGATTAGAGAGTAAGCAGGAAGTAGAAGCAGCCTTACCCAAGGGATAAACACATACACAGAAAATTAAAGCTGAAGGAGATGAAGGGTTGAGCCAAAAGGAAATGATTTCATGAATAGTGAATGAGGAAAGAAGGGACTTCTCACAGCCCCTCCTAGGAGAGAGCCGGCTGGGACCACAGAATCCAATGGCTTCTCGGTCATTCCCCTGCACGCCGGCACAGCAAGACAAAACTTTCCCCTGACTTTCAGTGAAGCTGCAGCATCCTAACTGATGGCTTCCTCGTTCCGACAATGCAACAGCCTGATGTGCACGTTCCCCTGGGGGCTGCATCAGCCACGCACCCCTGCCCCTGCAGCTGGGACGTCTGGGCAAACCAGCCTGCAGGCTAACACCCCAACCCGGGCGCTCTGCCAACGCCAGGCCTTCACCTCAAGAAGACACGGTTAGCTCCGTCAGCTTCCTAACACAGTTGAATTTCAAACTCTCCTTCTGCTTCCGTACGTTTAACAGCACGACACGCGCCAACATCCGAATACAAAAGTATCTCCGTCATTCTGATAACTTCTTCAGTTTTCCCCTACCGTTATGAAAATACTGTACAAGTTCAGTCGATTTTTGCCATTAAAATATTTCCATCCTTATTTTCCGGTTCACAGTCATCACAGTAGTTGATTCCTGTTAGCATTTCAAAGCGTTTTTCTCCTCTCCACCAATCCACTAGGCATAATTGCACCAAAAGCATTGCATAATAGTACAGCTTAACCATGTCCTTTCTGCTTACAACACATGAAGAAACTCAAGTTACCCACCTAGAAAAACCTCCCATAGCGTGTCACTTAAGACTTGGCTCCTGTTTTAGCCTTTGCTTGTACGCCTCACCTTGTATGTAAGTGTACACACACACACACACACACACACACACACACACACACACGTACACGCATGCGCTCCCAGGCTGTCTGGTTCACCGTGACTCAAATGCCTTACTCCAGCATTTCTGCTGATACAATTGAGCCCGAGTGCCTCTGCCTGCCAAAACGCCTCACATCCTCTAAGACCGAGCTGGAATTAGAGCTGTGCCACCGAGCACTCACTGCCCCATACATACACCTCGAAATCACCTCCTCCTCCTCTCTCTTTGACAGTCTTGAACTCTGATTTTTTTTTTCTGTGTAGCTCTCTTGTCCACGCTACAGATCTGCAAGCTCCCTTGAAGCTGTTGTATGATAACCATCGGTGTTTCTTGCTAGAGCATCTAAAATTGGGCTTTACACGCAACTGAGGTTTAGTAGAAATTAAGTTTCAGGGGGTTTTAAAAGTTTCTAGAAGGGCTTGTTAAGGTAAAAAGAAACACAAGTAAAGTGGCCAACATTTGAAGGATCAGCAATCGTAGAAAACAGGAAAGGAAATGCTGCTATCAGACGGACACACGAGAGTCAGGATAGCACAGTGCAGGGATGACAAGCAAAGGGCAGGCAGCGCAGTGCGGAGGCGTGGCACCTGCTAGGCCGACTTCTACAAACGTAGTCCCTTTCTCAGCAGCAACACACAGCTCTCACCCGGTCCTCTCGTTACAGGGGAACAAGCTGAGGCCCAAAGAATTTCAGTGATTTCCCAGAAACAGAAACTGACCGAGTGGCAAAACTCAAGACAACTCTTAACCAGGTATCCGGTTTCCAGGTGAGAGGTTTTCTGCCACAATTCACAAATGAAAACCCACGAGAACCCTGTGGGCTGCAGGTGTCTTACAGCACCTAACAATAAAACAGCGTGGGAGCCGGAATGCGTAGATACTGTTTGTAGATCGTTGGGGAAGTGAAAACATAGACAGGGGGTCCATTCATCCCACCTGCCTTCCCCCACCCAGAGCTTCTCCTTCTTAACTGGAACTGGAGGCCCACGTGGGTCTGTAACCCCCTCACCTCTGTAATAAATATCAGAATTTAAAAACAATAATAATAATAATAGTAAATAAAAGACCAATTCCTAGTCCCCTGGTGTTGTCTGCCTGTGGTTTGAGGCAGCAACCGTTTTTTTTTTTTTATTTTTTAAAGGTTTATTTATTCTTTTTATTGGAAACAGCAACTGTTTCAAAGAAGTGTCCCTCTAAACCATAAAGACTCTATTTTACGTTTACAACGCAGGTTCAAAGACTCAAGCAAATCCAACCAAGTCAGAACACAAGAACCCGTGACCTGCTGAGTGAGACGGGGGAGAGAAGTGTGGATTCCCCATACTGATGCATTCAGGGCTTACACTAACCGGTCATTCTCGGTCCCTTTTCTAAGCTTCCTTGATTCACCAATTCTTGCTCTTCACCCAAGGGAAAACTTGGCAATGACGACTCACGCACGAACAACAGCCTATGTACAACACTGACCCAAAAAGAGCAAAAACCTGTCTCTCCCCGCAGATGGCATGAGGAAAATGCAAACTGTATGAGGTTTTCTGTTACTATTCAAGAACAGGTTGTGTGGCTAATATATGTCAAACCGAAACAAACAGAAGACAAAGTTTTGAGAAAGGGAAAATTCCAAGCCAACAACTAATTACCTGGCAGTTACTGCGTAATGTTCTGCCCTAGTGTTCCCATCTGTGAAAGAAAATAGAACTTACCTTTTAAAATTTCATGAGAATTAGAGAATCATTTCTAATGCGATGTCCAAGCCCTAATTTATAAGCACTTGTCAGATAGGTCTATTATTATGAAACACAAACAATGAAATTTTATTAGGAAAGCACCCAGCACCAAATACAGAAAATACAGGGAAAGCAGCGGAAGACAACCTAAGTGTTTGGGCCCTGAAACGTATGAGGGAGACCCAGAAAAAAACGCCTGGCCCAATGCTAGCCTTAGTGGCCGTCTGGGGAATAAACCAGTGGATGGAAGATTTCTTTCTCTCCCTCTCTAATTCTGACTTTCAAAATAAACCAAGTTTATGTTGGTACAGTGCACTAATCCTCCGCCTGTGGCACCGGCTATTCCATATGTGAGCCAGTTCATGTTCCGGCTGCCCCACTTTTGATCCAGCTCCGTGCTAATGACTTGGGTGAGCAGCTGAGGATGGCCCAAGTCCTTGGACCCCTGCATCCACAGAGGAGATCTAGAAGAAGCATATGGCTTCCAGCTTAGAACTGGCCCTGTCATTTGGGGAGCAAGCCCAAAAAGGAAGCAGACAAAAGATCTATTTCTCCTTCTCTCTATAATTCTAACTTTCAAGGAAAGAAATCTTTTTTGAAAAGTTATTAGACAACTGAATAAATGCAAAACTATGAAGTTTTATTTAATTTCACCCTCCCAACAGAACAGCACAGTTAACCCTCTGATGCA